CTGGATTTTAACTTGATTCCAGGAACTGCGCTTTGCGTGTGCATCCGTTTTTCAGATCTAACTTGTTTTTGTGTAGACTTCGTTCCTCGCTTCTCGGGCATATGTACTCCGCCTTCAAAGAAAACACCCCAAATGAGTCGACACCTACGACATGTTTGTTGGCGGCAGTAAGTATATCCTCCCTCCCTCCCCAAATGGGGCCCAAGAGGATCACGCGTGACGAGCCCATTAAAAGAAACAACACTCTTAAACCCCAGACTGGAGGGTAAAGCTAAAAGCAACAGAGCAAGATGTAGACGACGATGCAAGTGGAAGAACAACATCAAGAGATGGACAAACCGTGGTCTCAGAGAGTGTACTACCAAGACAAAAAACCAGGGTATATTGCATGGAGGGGTGGGGTGTCTACGTCTTGTTTAAGTGCTCAGTAATAATAATACGCTGAACGCAAATAAAAAATATATTTCAAATAACATTATTCTTATAAACAAAACTGTAAAAGGTAACCACACTGCATGGTGGGCAGAAGCAGCTAAAACATCTTACTATCTGGCAAAGGAAGGGGGGGGGGGGTCAAGGAGCTTAGCGCCCATTTTCCAGCGCCCCTGTGTGTGCCCAATTTGACATGTGTTTCTGATATTAAATTAATTTTCATTCTATTGAACCGACCAGAATTCGCATATATACACATGTGATGTAATGGATCACTGAACATCCAAGCCAAGTGTACTTGTATTGATACGGTGTGTAAAGGGTTACGGTGATACAATACCAGCTGTTGCCACTGGGTGTGAAAGTATTATCCGTTCATGTCTTACCGACATTCAACCTCACCAGGACCTCACAATCAGCGATAATTACTGATTTAAGAATCGAACATTATAGCACACCGGGCATACCCATAGATGCTCCATCTCCCGCTGCACAATGTCTTAAGGTGTAGATGCCAACTGCTCCCGCAGCACACTGACCAAACACTCGTCGCTCTCCCCCTCCCATCTGTCCCTCCCCGCCGGTTCCACACTCAGTTACTCGTTCACACATTCCCGCACATATTATTTCATCTAATATTGTGTCTTCTGTCGTTCATATATGGTCTTCAGAATATCTCTCTTGTCTAGTACGCGTGTTTCTATTACGCATTTTTATATAGCACCAGAACTGTGCAAAGGGGGAGGGGCGGGGCAATGGGAGCTGTCTCAATTAGATAGATCGATCATCTTGTCCCCTCCGGGCCGTTATCTAAATGTTTCCATGTCTTCCTGAGATTTACACAACAGAATCTGAATCTTGACACCAAACCAACAGGTAGATGCCAGAAAGCCGTTTCCATCCGAAGCTTTGCCCAACAACAGCCAAAAAAGTCATCTCGTTCAACCAGTAGCCCTGAAAGGGGGAGCTTTAGGTTATAATTGTGACCTCCTCTTGTGGGTTCCGGTGCCCTGTTATAGGAAAAACGAGAATAGACCCACTGCCTACCCAAAAGCATGTCGCAAGAGTCGACTCATTGGGAGCTTCCTTCAAAGTCGGAGTGCATCTGTCTGAGAGGCAAGGAACCAGCAGTCTGCCTACAAGTTAGTCACATCTATCAAACCGATGCACACGCAACACTCAAGTTCTGGAACAGGACTGCAGTCCACAAATGGACGAACAACCAGAACTTTCCGCCAGAATGAACAGCTGGTGAACACGAAGAAGAAGAAGAAGAAGAAGAAGAAGAAGAAGAAGAAGAAGAAGAAGAAGAAGAAGAAGAAGAAGAAGAAGAAGAAGAAGAAGAAGAAGAAGAAGAAGAAGAAGAAGAAGAAGAAGAAGAAGAAGAAGAAGAAGAAGATAACTGTGACAGGTTATGTGTGCCAAATAAAATGGCTTAGCACAGCACGCCCTCCCCCCCCCCCCTCCCCAAGAGCGCTGAAAAGGACTCTTGTAGTGTTGATGCGATCAAAGGAGACTGACCAAAATACTGTCCTGACCGGCGACGAAGTCGTCTACCGGCCAGCCAATTGGCAACCTGGTCGTCGATGACCCTTTCCCGGTTTTTTAGGCAACTAAATATCAGACTGGTGTGGCCATTCTCCTTCCCTGTCGCCTTAGAACTTTTCAAAAGAAGTATGCAAATTTTCTTGCACGCATTGTTATAGGACATCAGAACTGTTTAGTTGTGGGAAAAAGGGGGGGGGGGGGTTGTCTCAACTTCGAGAGAAATCGATTGATCAGCTTGTCCCTCTGGGCTGTTGCCTAAATGTTTCCATGCCATCCTGAGATTTTTAACAAAATGTAAATCTTGACGGCAAACCAAAAGGTAGATACTAGAAACCCCGTTCAACCTCCAGAGAGGTTATAATTAGAGCACCCGTAACTGATAGACCAAGGCCGTCTTCATCTGACGAGCCCTGCTGCTGTCGTCACCAAACCGGGCTAAGGATACGTTAAGTTTTCACTCCGACAGTCCCGTCAGATGGAGACGGTCTTGGCTAGGCCAGCCCAGTGTCACCTGCAGTACCAGCGTGGGGAATGACGTCTATGCTAGAGACCACACTCCTGGATTTATCAGGGTAGCTAAGAGCAATAACCACTACTTCATCTATTTCTTAAGATAAGAAAAATTCCACAACAACAAAAATAATACTGTTGTTTGTTTGTGTGCAATTGGAACTTGGGGAGGCGGGGTGGGGGGAACTGTCTCCGTGCTTCACTGTCACGTGATGAGATGCTACAGCCGGCCGTGGTAAGAACCTACCCCCGGCACCACTACGGTTCCTAGACGTGTTAACTTTTTCAATCGCAGTTATTGTTGCTTCTGTTCTAAAGTTTGCGTTCCCTAGAGCTTTAGAGCTCTATATTTTTTAGTGTCATGGGTTTTAAGAATTTGGGGGCAAAGTGTTATACCGTAGTCTTCTTCTTATTCTTAGCATTTGCTGGCTGTAAACTCCGGTGGAAAGTTCTGGTTGTTTGTCCACTTCTGGAGTTGAGTCTTGCTCCAGAACTTGCCTATCAATTTCACAGATCAGGCTTATTTGTGTGCATGTTGATAGTTCCCCATCTCTCAGGCAGATGCGCTTAGACTTCGAAGGATACCCCCGATTATGTTTTTGTTATGTAATGCCTTGTTACGCTGACCTAATTTGTTATTCTATGTTAGGTTGTATTATTTTGTGTCATGCCACAATATATAATGTTATCTTTTAAAAATCAACGCTAGTGTATATTGGATATTCCCATGCGTGTTGAGTCCTCCGGTGCAACAGCCATTCCAGCGTACTTGTTCTGACTGCTTCCATTGGAATCTGGTTATGTTAGATCGTATCTTAATCTCGGAGACGGCATAGACGGGCTTTCCCTGTAGCTCACGTAATCGGGTTAATGTCAGTCGCGTCCTTATCTACCAATCTAGTCCCTACAGCTGTGTTTATATCAGTGTTCTTCAAACTTTTTACACCGGTAAACCAACAAAACAGGGAAAATTGTTTCGCGGACCACCCGACAGTTCATTTGTTTTCTGAACATTGGTTTATATCAGCCCTGTTGATTCTGTCGGCTTCTGTGGCTTGGGCGTTCCGAACGCACTTCGTAATGCTGGGTTCGATCCCAACTGCGGGCCTAGCGCCTTGCGTTGGTTTCGACAGTGGTATAGAGAAGCCGACCATCCAGAAACCAATGACAAACTCCTGGACGTAAAATTTGCCTAGAAAAACCACAACAGCCGAATAATGCTGGGGTTGGTTCTGCAACGTCCTGTGAAGCATGCTCCATTCTACTTCGCGTGTTTATTAGCGCCATACTTGTAAATGCACTCGGTCATGGTTCTAGTGATAGTCCCAAGTCCAAGTCCATATACACAACAACAACAAACTCGTCCACGTTCATCCTGGTGCTAGCCAGCCGAGACCGTCAACAGTCTCCGGTTAAATTTGTGGTCTGGTTTATTTGCGCCACTTTTGTGGCTAATGTTCTGATATTTGCGCCAGATCTCTGGCTAAGTCCATCTTTCTCTCAGTCAGACTGCTCGATCCTTCCTGGTGTCACTGTATTTCTCCTGCCCTTATATTTCTGATTTTTCATCTTGCTTCATGCTCCTTCTAATTTAGCCAGGCGTATCTCATAAGAATCCGAGCTTCTCACCATAAAGTCCTTTTTACCATCATTTATAGTTTTTAAATTGTGAATATTTTACTTTGCCAAAAAGTACTGAAAACAGTTTTTGGGTTTGGATATAAATGAAACTATGAAAACATTTCGCATGTGAGCACAGCGGTCTTATAACTGTCTTCCTGAAATAAGAGCGGGTTATGCATGTCATGTGATGTGAATGAAATGATAGGTGAAATCTCACAATGATTCTAGCCGTCATTTATCATACTGTAGTCCGGTTGTAGTGCGTTTGGGTTAGTGGATGGGCTCTGGTGTATCTAAGTAACAGACCCTCAGAACACCAAACTCAAGTGCTCTCAGCTGAAAGCTGTTCAGGATCAATGTCGCTGGAACACTTATGCTCCGAAACTCTAGTGCTCGACGATTCTGATGTTAGGGTTTTTTGTATTCTTATAAGTATAACATTAACACTAGCTACGCAACTAGCAAAAGCCAGAAAACTACATCTAACCCTTTGTCCTCGACGATTTAAAACATTAGCAGTAGGATACAAGACTAGCTCACAGACAACAAGGCTCCAGTAGTTCATGTATAAAGTAAAGTAAAGGAATGTCATCCACGTCATCCAGCATATGGTGCCAGACTGTATTTGTGTGACCAAATGGAGCTTGATCGGTAACATGGTCAACGTCAGGCTGGCTGCCTTAATTTTCCAAGACATTACCTGGTACCAATTTCAGGATGTTTAAATCGTGGATTCGAACCTATGCTTTATGGGCACTAGGTAAGCTTGTTTTGAAGCACTCCTGTTTAAATGTAGTTAAATTTATACGTGCTGTTAATTAATGAGATAATGGTCGTTTCTCACAGGTTCGGTTAATGGCGGAATTCAGCTTGTAAGCAGTCCTCTAATGGTATGTTTTTGCGCTAAGGTTAAAATTCGGGCAAATTTTTGTGGGAAAGTAATATTAACTGATTTATTTCCTCCTCCTTCCTCCTCTTTCTCCTCCTTCTTCTCCCTTCTTCATCATCATCTTTTTCTTCTTCCTTCTTCTTCTTCTTCTTTCCTTCCTTCTCTTCCCTTTCTTCAACTTCCTCTTCTTCTTCTGCTTTCTTCTCCTTCTTCTTTATCTCTTCTTGTTCTGCTTTTTCTTTTTCTTCTTCTCCCGTGCTGCTTCTTGTTCTTTCCTTCTCCTTATTCTTCTTTCTTCTTCATCGTCTTCTTCTCCATTGTCTTTTTGCTTCCAATTCTTCTTCATTTTCTCTTTATTCCTTTTCCTCTTCTTCTTCTTCTTCTTCTTTTCTTCCTCTTCTTCTTTTCTCCTCCTCCTTCTCCTTCTCCTTCTTCTCTACTCTTCTTTTCTTTTCTTATTTGTTGTTCTTCTGCAGTTACCACTAAAAGGTGTCTGGCAGGTTGTGTTGTAGTTTACAACAAACTGGGATTTCTGTAACTTTGGCCCAACAGGCTAGATTGGAGCAGACCCACAATTAGTGGCCTTTTACGACACTATTATTCGGGGCAAGTTGTGTATTCTTTCTTTCTCCCAAAATAGGACCTCAGAGCCCTCACTGTGGTATATAATACCAGATTTATTCATACTTATATATAACTTCAATTTAAATCAAAACTACTGGGCGCATCAGAACGGGGGGGGGGGGGGGGGGGCGACGGGGACATAAAACAACTACAACAATTATTGACTGCTTTCAGCTGCTTTGAGAACCAGCCGTAGACACATGTCGTGACTGTAACCGACTCACAAAGAATGTTAAGAAAGATGGAGGCAAGCATGCTGCGTACAGAGTAGCAAGTATCGCTTCAAAGGTGCTGAGTAGTTAGCGTTCGTTTGATATTTTCTCCACAGTATGCAGAAATGTTGTCAAAGGAAAGGAACAGGCAGACAGATTGGCTGGTTCTGGATCAGTGAATTGTGACTTTGTGCATGGCAAGCTGGGTGTGGTCAATGTCCCTAGGAGAAAGTGAACCATGCGGAGGCAGGAATAGATCTTCATTGTCTGGAGATCAAGGTACAGCTTAGAGTGACCAGGGGGTCTGGTCGTCACTCTGCGCTCGGAGAAAAGGCAAAACGAACATATAAGCAGACTGCTACTTGCGCTGCCGGAACTGGAATTCTTCGTTGGTTGCTGAAAATCTTCTTCTTCTAGATCATCCGAATATGTAATAGCGTAGTGTCCGTTTACAGCATGGCTGTGATATTTGCGCCTTTCGGCCAACACATCCGACTTCTGCGGGCATTTGTTGACCAGGTGAGCCTTCCCGGTACGGTTGCTGAAAATGAGAACGGAGCGCCTATGGGAATACCCAGCGTGTTATCACGTCTGTTCTTAGCTCAACACACAACACTCTAAACCAGTGTTTCCCAAACATTTCTTAATCGCGGCGCTTTTTTTAATTAACATTTTTCCATGGCGCCCTAACCAAAGTAAAAGTATGACTATCGTATCTTGGTAAATTAATTTTAAAGCTTTTACGATATTTCGAGGCGACCTGTGAAGAGATCGAGGCTGCCCGGGGCGCCGCGGCTCACAGTTTGGAAATCACTGCTCTAACCGATTACAAGACTTCATATATCTTTGTCAGGGTGTAATAAACACGGCGTGACAGCATCGCCAATGCGATTTTCATAAAATAGACTAAACTCGCCTGAGTGAATCAGGAAGTGACGAAAGAAACAATGCTGGCACTCAATATGACATCACCATCATCCTCATCATGTGGCTTGTCAGCTGGCGTCATGCGTCTCCACAGATCTCGTTATTTGGTGTTCTGGATCAATTCCACTGATGATATTCCTCTATGCCACTGTTTTAAGCCATTCATCCTAATTTCTCGTGGTCTGCCTCTGCCTCTTCTACCAGTGATCTTTCCAGACGTCACGATATTTTCCAGTGCTCCTTTTCTTATCACGTCAGATATGGCATACCTTGAGATGTGTTATCTACATTGACGGTGAAGATTTTGAGACAGTAGACCATTTTACCTATCTGGGTTCCACAGTGAATAGTAAACTATCGCTGGACCAAGAAATCAACATCACGATATGTAAGGCAGCAACAACAATGGGCAGATTGACAAAGAGAGTTTGGGAGAACAGAAAGCTCACAATTAAAACAAAAACCCTTGTCTATCAGGCTTGTGTTCTCAGCACTCTGCTTTATGGCAGTAAAACTTGGTCAACCTATTTGCACCAGAAGAGACGGCTTAATAGCTTTCACGTGCGATCCCTAAGAAGAATACTTGGCATTAAGTGGCTGGACAGAATCACAAACACTGAGGTACTGGAAAGAGCAGGTACTACCACAGTCTTTTCCATGCTCAGTCTACGAAGGCTCAGGTGGCTGGGTTACACCTGGAGAACGGAGTATAGCAGAATTTCTAAGAACATCCGTTATGACAGGAAGAAGATTCGAGGCCGACCTCTACTGCGTTATAAAGATGTGTGCAAGCGGGACATGAATGATACAGATACTGAGGCGGACTCATGTATGGAAGACTTTTCTTGACACGGGCGGGTCTTGTTAGTCACACTCGCCATCTCCATGGGCTGTGAGTCTCATGCCTCCTCAAAGCGCAATACAACACTATCGTCTGGAAAGACGGAAAGGTGCCAATGTTAATTAGATGTGATATTAATGCAATTAGAAAGTCTTTCTTTTGGAACCCACACAAAAACTCAGCCTAAAAATTAAAGGAGGAACTAAAATTAGAGAAAGAGAGACATGTGTGAAGAATACTGACCCTTCAACTTTGAAGCCAGAACCAGTGACTTACTCGCGCGAAGTATAAGGCGGAAGATTTGGAGAAAGCCTGAGCCTCATTCAGGCGGGCAGTGGAGAACCGGCCTGCATCAGTGGTTCTCAACCCTTTTCTTTCTGAGGTTCCCAGCCCCAGCCCCTGTTTGGCTACACGGCAAGGACCCCCACCAACCCCCCCCCCCCCCCCCCGCACGTCTTATTAACAAGACCTTGGAGAAAACCTCCACATAGATCAAAGTATCAAATAGCATAATGTCCTTAGCTTTTTTGTTTTACAAATAGTTTTCAACAATATTATGTTTAAATTAAAACTATAATTTTGTTTAGCATAACAGATTATTACAAATGCAAATACACTCTTGTTCAAAATTGTTGGACACCCCATTTAAACGTAACTGACACTACCACCCCCTCCCCTCACCCCCGGTTGTAAACCAGTATGCCACATGACGACTATAAGGATTTCCCCTTTCACGGACATTATGATATTCCGTTTAATTATTAGTGATTATTAAGGATTATCATCACAGCACTCCGGACAGATGCTCCCATCTTCTGCTCAAAAGCTCTACAAGTGCAAAACAATTGATGACGCCTGTTCTGTTTCACCATAGTTAAATGTTCATTTCTTGCAGCTCCAGACTGTACCTCCATGTCCATCAGCCTAGGTAGGAATACGGAGGCATCCCCTTTAGCATGCTGGTCGTCACAGTAAGTTCAGCGCACAGCATTGATAACATCGCCTCTGTCCAGTACTGGGCCAGCCAAAGCAAACGCAGTGTCGTTTAATTTTCATTATGTGTTCTCTACTTTCAGGGACAGTGGAGTGACAGAGTAGGAAGGCACTTCAGCCTGTTTGTTTGCCTGTTTTTATCAGGATGCGGCTACTGTATACTCGGACTGTACTCCTCCTTGGCTGTATTGTTTGCTGGGCGTTTCATTCTAGGTATAGTCACTCATGTACTTATTGAACAATAAAGTTTCTTCTAAAGACCATGCGACTTTTGATTATACAGCTCCCCGTGTGGGTTCCGGGGCCCCATTGTGGGGAAAACAAGAATAGACCCACTGCCTATCCAAAAGCATGTCGTAAGAGTCGACTAATTGGGGAGCTTCCTTTGAAGTCGGAGTGCGTTTGCCTGAGAAGCAAGGAACCAACAGTCTGCACTCAGGTGAATCAGATCTTTAAAACTGATGCACACGCAACACTCAGATTCTGGAACAGGACTGCAGTCCAGAAGTGGACGAACAACCAGAACTTTCCGTCAGAGTTTACAGCCGGTGAACGTAAAGAAGAAGAAGACCATCTATCTCTCTGTGATGTCTGTGATAAGTTGTTCCGGCCTCAGTCTGCAGTTGGTGACTTCTTTTTCTTCTTCGTTCACTGGCTGTAAATTCCCGCGGAATGTTCTGGTTGTTTGTCCACTTCTCAACTTAGTCTTGTCCCAGAACCTGAGTGTTGCGTGCACAACCGTTTGATAGATCTGACTTAACTGTATGCAGATTGTTGGTTTCTTGCCTCTCAGGCAGATGCCCCGACAGAAATGTTCAGTCTAGTACTGGCAATCTTCCTCGTCTTCTTAGTATTCGCCAGCCGTTAACTCTGGGGACATATTCTGTTTGTTCGTCCACTTCTGGGCTTAATCCGTTAGTCGCCTTTGACAACATGTGTTTAGGGAGTTTCCCTGATCAACCAGTCTTAAATGGGTACTAGGTCCTGTCATGGGAAGTAAAGGTGGCCAGTTTTTGCTGATCACCTCCCCCATTGATTGCCGATTGGACTATAAAGCTTATAACTATTATAATTAACACTTTGCTTAGACTAACTGAGACTTCCTTAACTATAAATTCTACTTTTCTACTTCTTTCTATGAGTGCTTATCAATACATCATCTGTTTGTTTATTAAATATAAAGTTGTAAGGGGGTTCATCCTTCCTACCCCCTTTTTAAGAGGATTCCCAGTGTTTTATTTGTGTCTGCGCCCCTCCCTGTATAGGTTGTCTTGGATTAACATTCTTCCATCCGCAGGTTGTTTCAAACATAGTCAGACCATTACAAAAGCCTATCTTGCTGATATTGGAGCAGACCATGAACGTTCAGCTTTGCTGGGAAACTTTAATTCCTTTTCAAACATAGGTTTTGTTGTGGGCCCTATCATTGGCGGGCATCTGGCAGAAATTAGCTTTAGCCTCGCAGCATTTGCAGCAGGGACTGTCTTCATAGGAAATTCGGGTAAGACTGGCCGGTTACTTGTTTGTACTCTTAATTTTAAGTGAAATACACAAAGGACTTGTCTCGTGATACCTAGGAGGCGAGATGTACTTCCCTATTTAAAGAATGGTGGGCAGTATACGACATGATGACGACATCACAGGGGTTCGAGGAGTAGACGATGACATGGCAGGGGTTCAAGGAGTAGACGATAACATGACAGGGGTTCAAGGAGTAGATGACGACATGACAGGGGTTCGAGGAGTAGACGATGACATCACAGGGATTCGAGGAGTAGACGATGACATCACAGGGGTTCAAGGAGTAGATGACGACATGACAGGGGTTCGAGGAGTAGACGATGACATGACAGGGGTTCAAGGAGTAGACGATGACATGACAGGGGTTCAAGAAGTTGACGATGACATGGCAGGGGTTCAAGAAGTAGACGATGACATGACATGGGTTCAAGGAGTAGATGACGACATGACATAGGTTCAAGGAGTAGATGATGACATGACATGGGTTCAAGGAGTAGACCATGACAGGCATATCATAGGCATAAGCGCCGTAACCTCGAGTACTTTCAGCCCTCTCCACTCAACAACATGAAAAACTACGCGGCGCTAAGCAACCCTCACCCTCTGCTTTGTTGTGCTTTCCCTGCTAGTTTCTGAACGATGAATTGAGAATCGACATCATAGCATTATGGGACATTCCCATAAGCGCTCCGTCCCCATCTTCAGCAGCAAGCGAAGAGTTCCAGTTCCGATGGTACCTGTAACTGTCCGATTATATATCCGTCTCGCCCTTTCCGTGAGTGTTGGGCGTCCGACCAGACCCACTGGTAACGGCTTCTTAGAAAATCTGTTTTCTCGCTAACCTTGAAAAGACGTTCTGTTTTTAAGTATTTCTCTATACAGTTCCTACTTTTTCCGTTATATTGTTGGATTTATTTGCCATCAGTCACAGGCTAAAATAATGATTTTTATTAATACAAACTTGAACACCTGAGAGCACCTCCTGGAAAATTATATCAGGACAAGCAAACGCCCGAAAAACCCAACAAGCATTGCAAGGCCAGATGGTATCTGTTGCCAACTAACAATGTCCTGCCGCCTCCCACCCCCCCCCCCCTTTTTTTTTTCCACACACACACACACCTTGTGAAGTTTTTTTTGTTTTAAACATATTTTTGCTATTTCGTCACCCCCTCAGTGATGACACCCGGGGCGGTACGCATACCCTCCCCTTCCTTCCTACGCCACTTTCCACTCCCGCCAAGATTTCTTAAGTTTTGGTTCTCAACCTATGCATCGGGACCCTTTCTTTGTGTGTGTGTGTGCGTAGGACGACCCCTTCACAGAGTCGCCAAAGACCATCGCAAAACAAATGTTCATTGAAGTTATGAGGTAGCGTCGAAAATCATTGTATGGTTGGGGGTCGCCACAACACGAGGAACTGTATTAAAGGGTCGCCACAACACGAGGAACTGTATTAAAGGGTCGCCACAACACGAGGAACTGTATTAAAGGGTCGCCACAACACGAGGAACTATATTAAAGGGTCGCCACAACACGAGGAACTGTATTAAAGGGTCGCCACAACATGAGGAACTGCATTAAAGGGTCGCCACAACATGAGGAACTGCATTAAAGGGTCGCCACAACATGAGGAATTGTATTAAAGGGTCGCCACAACATGAGGAACTGCATTAAAGGGTCACCACAACATGAGGAATTGTATTAAAGGGTCGCCACAACATGAGGAACTGCATTAAAGGGTCGCCACAACATGAGGAATTGTATTAAAGGGTCGCCACAACATGAGGAACTGTATTAAAGGGTCGCCACAACATGAGGAACTGTATTAAAGGGTCGCCACAACACGAGGAACTGTATTAAAGGGTCGCCAAAACATGAGGAATTGTATTGAAGGGTCGCCACAACACGAGGAACTGTTTTAAATGGTCGCCACAACATGAGGAACTGTATTAAATGGTCGCCACAACATGAGGAACTGTTTTAAAGGGTCGCCACAACATGAGGAACTGTATTAAAGGGTCGCCACAACATGAGGAACTGTATTAAAGGGTCGCCACAACATGAGGAACTGTCTTAAAGGGTCGCCACAACATGAGGAACTGTCTTAAAGGGTCGCCACAACATGAGGAACTGTCTTAAAGGGTCGCCGCAACATGAGGAACTGTCTTAAAGGGTCGCCGCATTAGGAAGGTTGAGAACCACTGTCTTATAAGTAATCACAGCGCGCTGATCGTGTGATATAACTACGGGTATGGTAGCTTTGAGGTTGAATACCCCATTTCGTTAAAAAATAACTCAAGTAACAAAATTTAAAAAACTATTAAGAAGTCTAAAAAAAAAGACAGCATGAATGTTGAATTGAGAATCAACATAATAACACTCATGACACTCCCATAAGCGCTCCATACCCATCTTCAGCATCCAGCGAAGAGTTGCAATTCCGACGGTGTCAATAAATGTCTGTTTTGATATCCGCTTCGCCGTTCCCTTGAATGTTGAGCGTCGGCAGATACCCTCGTAACTCCTCGCAGCACCATTCTCCTCAGACCGCAATCGTTCAACCATAAATTATAAGTCAACGAAGATGAAGAGGGGGTTTTTATCTTCGTCGAAATATGTTGAGTTGAGTCAAGAATTTACCTCACAGCGCTCGGGGCATTGCCAGGCATGCTCCGTCTTCATCTTCAGCAGCCAGCGCAGAGTTCTTATACTGATGGTACCGGCACAGTCTGGTTATATGTCCGTCTTGCCTTACCTCTGAGTGTAGTCAGCCGGCCAGACCCTCTGGGTACATCCAGATGCCTCATTCTCTCCAGGCCATAATAATCTTCTATCTCTACTGATTCCGTTGCATGTTCCCAAATGTCAAAATATGAAGCCGTACAGAGAAACTCGACAACAGTCATGTCGCCGTTTGGCCAGTTACACACTTTCACTTACGAGAATCTCAAGAACTGGTGGCTGTCGAAATATCATAGCAATGTTCCCCGTGTGGGTTCGGGGCCCTATTGTAGGGAAAACAAGAACAGACCCACTGCCTCCCCAACAGGCATGTCGCAGGAATGGACTAATTGGGGACTTCCTTCTAAGACGGAGTTCTTCTACCTGAGCGGCAAGGAACAACCAACTGCGCACAATAAGCCACTAAAATGGATGTACACGCATAATTCACGCCCCGGCACAAAGCTAAAGTCAAAACACACGAACAACCAGGACTTTCAGTCGGAGCTTACAGCTGTTGAACAAAGAACTAATAGAGTCAAGAAAATAAAGGGCATTGAAAATAGACGACAGTAGAAACTGAAAGATAGAGGTAAATAACATGGAAAATTATGGCGACGACATGGAGTGAGCTTCATGGCAAAGGATAGGGCAACGGCATCAACTAGTTGAAGGTCATTGTCAAAGATACAGAACTACAGGTGCTGATGCGCCATGACCCACACAGGTCACGACCTATCTAAACATCTGTGTGGTCATCAGAGAAAGTGATTCCAGCCGGGGGCCTAGCCAGCGTGGATATGCCTACGAGGCCAGGAACCAACAGTCTGCAAATAAATGAGATAGATCTGTAAAACGAATGTGCACGCAAAATTCAAGTCCTGGCATAAGACTAAATTCCAGAAGTGTATGAACAACCGGGACTTTCAGCTGCAGCTTTCAGCCAGTTAATGCGTAGTAGAAGTAGAAGAGGAGGGTTTACGGTCTATGCTCCACTGGGGGAATAACAGGTCGAAGATAAATAAGAATGCAGTGTAGATTTGTTTCTTGTCTTCAGTTTCATTCATTATAACCTGTTTCAAAATCATGTTTATTGTATTTTGTCAGTGTTGATATGGTGGGCTGTCAGCCATGATCCATCGGCGGAACGAACATTACATCAAACGGATATAGCTCTTAAGAAGGAAGACAATTCAGTTCTCCCAAAGTTGGAGAGTGACGAAGTCAGGTCTGGTCATGTGATCACGCTGTTTAAAGATATTGACTGGGAAGAGCTCTGGGATCTGTTCCTTATCAAGTTTTTTTCAGGTAGGTTACATTCAACATTACCCACAATATGCTGCGAGTTTGACACACATTTAAACCATCCGAGACTGAGTAAGTCACTTTTGTATTAGCCCTTGGCATGTAGTGTTGCGGTTCCCAGCTAGGTTGCAATATCTGCGTCTTTCGGCTCAACACATCCAGTTTAAGCAACGCCTTTTAGTATAATATTTTTAATGCGCTGCATATAAGTATGAGCGCCAAGAAACAGATTGTAAACAGCATATTTATGCATTGGCAACCAGTGCCAGACTTGGACAGTATCAAAGGCTAACCTACGATAACATCTGTGAAATGAGATGACCCAGAAAATCCGCCAGAGTAACAATCAGAGAAAATGTTAGGAATGATATTATCAGACAGGTTTTTGAAACAACACCACGCAGCAAATATACCAAGAAGCAGTAGAAGATGACATGGTTTGGACGTCTAGTAAGAATGCAGCCAGAACAGCTACCAGCGCAGGCGCTACGCATGAAACCAACTGAAGTAAAATCAAGAGGCCGCCCTAGGAGAACATGGACTAATAACATTAAAGACTTTTATACTGACACGGAAAAACAGCCACTGCTGCCGATCAAGCAGTGGATGGCAAACTGTTCCTCCCCACGGCGCATAACGGCAGATTGGAAACCGATGATGATGCTGATGATTTTTAATGCTCAATGGGTCTATTTCTTTTTCCCCAAAAGTGGTAACGTGTGAAACGATACTACCAGAAGGATTATGTGAACAAAACCTGGTGTCAATTGTATTGTTAAGCAGAAGATTATTTTATTACAATTCGGCGATATCAGTTACTAGGTTTCAGGTTTTGACAACGGATCAACATCATGGCACATTTTGGTAGTAATCCATAGGTGTACTGTTCTTCTTCAAACTTAAGTCTGAGTCCGAAGAAGCTCAGCATAGAGCACAGGCTCTGTAGCACCGGCTGGGATCCTGAAATACTTTGAGTAGATTTTTTACTCAAAATTTTGCCCGGGCAGCGCCGTTAGGCTACTCTTTTCGATTTTCAACTGCCAAGGGATTTTCTACGTACGCGACAATACACAGGGGCGTTTGATCTCACTACCCAGAGACAGGGGAAATTACTAGACTCCAAGTCCACGTGAAAAAATCAAAGCCCTCGCCGGGGATTGAACCCGGAACCTCTAGCACCCGAGGTGGTCGCCATGTCTCGAGACCACGTAGCCCTCTATCAGTTGCTAATATAGGAACTATATCTAAGAGCAGTGGACATTAACAACAAGAGGGCATCAAAGAAGAAGACCATTTAAAGACATAAAAAAAAACATTATACTTTAAGCGAAAAGGCAATAGTCAGTGCCAGGCTCGGACCACCAAATATTTCTCCCTGCATCCCTTGACCGTAAAAGTTGTATATGCTTATGGTGACGACGATTGAATGCATCACCAAAGAAAATTTCTAAATTACGAACGCAGTTTCATTATTCTTGTACATCGCCTATATAGCTCAGAGGTTAGTGAATGAGATTATCAATTTAATGATTCTCCAGTAGTATTTTTCGATTTCAGAAGCCATTGGATTAATTGTTTTTAAACTGTTCTCGTGGGTACGAGAGCCGCGCCGGGAAGGGATTAAAACCTCACTATGTCGAGTTGAGCTGATTAAAAGACCGACTTCACGGCACTCGGGGCATAAGCGCCCCGTCCCCATCTGCAGCAGCCGACGCAGAGTTCCAGTACCAGCAGACTTCCAAAAGCCTTACTGTGTAATATTCCCAAAGACAGCAGTGCACTGCAGCCAAACTTCACTGTGTGATCAACTTAGCTGCATAATAAGATATGAAACCAAACGAAAAGTCGAACTGGTTATCTTTACATAATCACCATTAACGACGACAGGTGAATATTTAGTTCTTCAGCATCTAGCGCTAGAAGCATATTTTATTTGTTTCTGCAGACTAGATAGAAAGACTTTTTCAGCACTTGGTATGAATAGATACTGATGCCTTCGACAAATTGATAAATAAAGTTACCTAACTGAGGTATTTCCGAGAAAAATCTACAGGTGTATCTGGTCAGCTGTAGCTACGACACACGTGTCAGTACCGGAAATGAAGGTTGTGATAGATAAAAGCCGAAACTCAGAAAAATTAGATAAAGCTGTGTTGAACGTTAAGCGCGATTTTGTAAAAGATCTTATTTATTAGGACAATATAACAGCTTTGACAGTTGACCATTCAAATGGCGCTAACTCTAAAATACAAGTGGCTATAAAACTACAACCAATCAACCAATGCTGAAGCTGGTTTGCAATGCCCTCTACAAGGTTTAGAAATACCCGAACAGTCCAGAACCTTCAGGACTAATGGAAGCTAATTCAATTAATATAATCCCTGTGTGGCTTATAGGGCCCAATTTTGGGGGGAAACAATAGACCCACTACCTGTCCAAAAGCATGTCGTAAGAGTCGACTAATTGGGAGCTTCCTTCGAAGTCGGAGTGTATCTGCCTGAGAGGCAAAGAACCAACAGTCTGCATGCAAATGTGTCGGACTTGTGACCCGGATGTACACGCAACACTCAGGTTCTGGAACAGGACTAGAGTCTAGAAGTGGACTAACAACCAGAACTTTCCGCCGGAGTTTACAGTCGGTGAACGTGAAGAAGAATGAAGAAGAAATGAATATAAAATGACACTTTATAAAACACTAAATATAGAGAAAGAAAGGATGCTAAGAGGTACAAACAATTATTTCTACAGTTAGTCCTTAGTCGCTTCATGTCAAATGAGTTACATCAAAATTGCTCCTTTCATGTGCCAATAAAAACTACACAGGGTCCTTTATCAGAAAATTAAAATACATTGTAGTCAGAGCAAAGCCAACAGCATGCACAGGCATTATATACACAAGGCAGCCGCCAAAAGTGTAAACACAAACAGTCCACCGCTAGAATTGCAGTTCATTGTCGAAATAAGCAGTGGTTACAACAAATCAGCTGTTGCAAATGATATACAGCACAAGGTACGACCATTTATGTGGCAAACGGTCACCCGTCATTTTCTGAATCAGCAGTTCCTGTCACCTTAGGCACTATCGAAACAGATTTTACGTGTAATGCACAGCTCACAGTGTCGCAACATGCATTCATGTCAGTATCTAAACGACGGAACTGTGTACTTTCAGTCCACATAAAGGGGAAAATGCAAAGCAACCTGTGGCATGAAGCAAAGAATATGTTAAGACTAACTATCAGCTAACAAGTCAGAAAGAACTACAGGAAATGATAGACATTGTGGTGTTAGAAAGTGGAAGAATGGGCCTCAGTTTGAATAATGGGAAGACAGAAGTAATGGTGGTATCAAAGAAACGAATTATTCCTAAGAGTGTAATAAAAGTTGATGGTGTTATTTTAGGACAAGTACAGAAATTTAAATATCTGGGCACATGGATAACATCAGATTGAAGATGCATAACTGACATAGGAAATAGAATAGGACAGGCAAAAACTGCCTTTTATAAAATGAAAAACATCTTGTGCAGTATATCCTTGTCATTGAGAGTTAGAAAAAGAATTATTGCTTGCTACATACATCCAGTTTTAACATATGGCTGTGAATCCTGGACAATTGGTAGGCAGGAGAAACAATTTCTGGAGGCCTCGGAGATGTGGTTTTACAGAAGAATGCTTAGAATACCTTGGACAGCCAAAAAGAGCAACCAAAAGGTTTTGAAAGAGGCGGGAGCCAGAAGACAACTTATCACAGACATCAGAAGGAGACAGTCTTCAGTTTTCGGCCATGTTATGAGAAGAGGGAAAATAGAACATGTTGTGACCACTGGAAAGATATGTGGAAGGAGAGATAGAGGAAGACAACGAGAGAAGATGCTTGACAGTCTTGTTGCATGGCATGGAGGTGTGTCAGCACACATGCTGCAGGAGATCGCAGATTATGGAGAGGCATGATCGCCCACGCCGGTCGGTAAGGCACCTGATGATGATGATGATCAGCACCTCCTGTCCACCGGCCTGTGTTTTCTCTGTGTTGACGCCACTTCAGGTTACTCACGACCTAACAATTGCCCCCCCCCCCCCCCCACCTTTATCCCCCTTTCTCTAGGATTCTCCATGATATTATTCCGCGGCAATTTCACGCTGGTGCTGAAGGAGAAGTTCGAAGCAGGCCCTAAAACCATTGGCTACATAACTTCATACATGGGAGCAGTGGCTACCTTGTCGGGTTTTCTTATAGGAAAAGTCACAGATAGGTGAGTCGTTTATCCTTATCCCACCAATAAATATTATGTGTGTGGGGGGGGGGGGGGGGAGGCTGCTTCCTTAACATGCATGTCAAAAAAGATGATTATTGAGGGATGTTTCCTCTGAAATTGGAGCGCATCTACCTGAGGGTCGAGAAACCAACAGTCTGCATGATGTGTGTCGTTCAACCCCACCAGGACCATACAACGAACGACCAACACCCGGCGACACACAATGTCACTATTCGGAAGAGGATCACCCGGTCACAAGTACCAGAAACTCCGTTCAGCCGTTAGGTTATATTAAGGCCCCCGACTACAACCTGGGTGTAGACCTGGTTGTTTGTTCATTTCTGGACTTAATCTTTGTTTTAGGACCTGAGTCTTGCTTGCATATCCGTTTAACCGGTCAGACTTAACTGTATACAAGTTCTTAGTACCTTGCTTCTCATGCAGATGCACTCCGACTTCGAAGAAACCCCCACTTAGTCGACTCTTACGACATGCTTGTTGGGGAGGCAGTGGGTCAATTCTTGTTTTCCCCAACAATGAGGCCCTGGAACCCCCACGGGGAGTCTACCTGTAGTTTTAGATATCCTATTCTCGTGATGTCGAACCTTTTTAGGTAGCAGTCTGGAAAGGATAAATTGCTGGTACATGAAGGACCATGATCCACACTTTTAGAGATATTGTATTTCTAAATAGTGCCAACACAAAACAATACATTGCACAATTTTTTGCCAAGCATACTTCGTTGTATCTCACCAGGTGCGTTACTTCAGAGATACATCAACATAAAATAAAGTATGTAAAATGGTGTATGTAGTAAAAAATCTCATAAGATACATTTAAATATGCCTGGCATTAAATTTTGCAATCTTCTTAAACAAGCACACGCGCGAAAAAAACAAAAAGTAAACATTACTGACACCGTTTCTTATTGTTGTCTTTGTTTCCGGTGCATCCATCTATCTCAGGCGCGCCGCAACGACGAAAAACTTAGCAAACTTCAGCGACCCCCCCCCCCCCCCCCTTTTTGCACCCACCCAACTTTTATGGGCAAAACAAGAGGGAGGGGCGCCCATTCCCTAATTTATAAAAATAGAATGGTTGGAGCTAATCTATCTATCTATCATCTATCTATTATCTATCCATTTGTCTGTCCATCTATCTACCTACATATTTATCTACCTACATTTCTATCTACCTACATATCTACATATACATCTATCTATTTTATATATATATATATATATATATATATATATATATATATATATATATATATATATATATCCATCTATCCGTCTCTCTGTTCATCTATCTATTTTATATCTATCCATCCATACGTCTGTCTGTCTACCGACTTATCTATCTCTATCTAACTGTTTATGTGTGTATTTTTCTAGCTTACTAATCTATCTTTCATCTATCTTTCTATCTATCTATCTATCTATCTATCTATCTATCTATCTATCTATCTATCTATCTATCTATCTATCTATCTATCTATCTATCTATCTATCTATCTATCTATCTATCTATCTATCTATCTATCTATCTATCTATCTATCTATCTATCTATCTATCTATCTATCTATCTATCTATCTATCTATCTATCTATATATCTATCTATCTATCTATCTATCTATCTATCTATCTATCTATCTATCTATCTATCTATCTATCTATCTATCTATCTTTCTATCTATCTGTCTATATATCTATCTACCTACCTACCTACCTACCTATATTGTTTCCTGAAAATAACACCTACCTCCCAAAATAGGCCCTAGCGCGATGTTCAAGATGTTTTCATTATAAGCCCTACCCCAAAAAATAAGCCCGGGTTAATATCGTCAGCTAGAATAAGAGACTTGTTGCCGAATGGCCAGACGAAGTAGAGACTCCACTTGCACACACTTAGTAATGAACGGATGTGGGTCATACATAATTCAGGCCGGAATTCGGGATCTGGAATTGTGACGTTGTTCCAAAAGAAGATGACATAGCTGAATTAGAATAAATGTAGAAGTTTGTACATAAATTAATATAGATTGTTTTATGTGAAAGAAGGGGGGGGGGGGGGGAACAAGACATTCACTATGAGGGAAATATATGGACATGTTGGCCTATCATACAGACATATGAGGCTTTGTTTCTAGCCATAGACATGTATCATACAGACATACATGACAAACCAGCACACTGGGGGGGGGGGGGGGGCTGTGTGGTCTCAAGGTATGGTGTCCGCCTCGAGTGCTAGAGGTTCCAGTTTCAGACTGGGATTATTTTAAGTGGACTTCTAGTAATTGTTCCGATCTTACTACCCAGAGACCAGGGAAAATTATTAGAAGTGCATTTGAAAAAAAATCCCAGGCTTTACCGGGGCTTTAACCCGGGACCTCCAGCACTCGAGGCAGACACCATACCTCCAGATTATTCAGCCTTCCAACCCCCCCCCCCCCCCTTCCTTTCCTTTGCATTTATTTACCCGCTTACCTGTAACACCCCCGCCCCTTTTTTTTCCTTCTGCTTACAGTTTACCATTTAGAAAAAAAAAACATGTTTTTTTTTCCCCCATTTTTCTTCAGATACAGAAGTACAGCCCAGTTGGTTCTCCACGTAGCCATCCTTCAAGCCATTACATTACTCTGTCTGGCCCTCTCAACGTCCGTACACCTGCTGTTTATTTACCTGACACTTCTAACGTTTGTCACCTCCCTGTCTCGAGTGGCTGGCACCTCTCTAACGGTCAGTCGCAGCGGGGGCAACACTAAAGTCGGCTCCGTGATGGGTCTGAACCAAAGCGTCATGTCTGTTGCCAGAATGGCTGCCCCGTTTGTTGCCGGTATTGCTCAGGAATTCAGCGTGGATGGGGCATCGTTACTTAGCGTAACTGCGGCTACTGTTAGTGTTATAATTATGTTACTGCGTCCACAAGATCCGCAGGTTAGACAAAAATTTATCCGCAGTGAATAATAGATAGTGCGATAATTAGAATTTTATTTCTAGGGGTAACAACTCACAGTGAGTTGCACAGCTTTCAGAGAATTACTGAAAGAAAACAAAAAGAGACAACTGAAACACTTAAGCCACATTTAAAGACATAACACACTTTTAAAAACCATACTGGAGGGAAAGGTCGAAGGCAAAAGAGCCAGATGTGGGCAACGACGTAAGTGGGAGGACAAAATCAAGAGATAGATGGGCAGCAGTCTGAGAGAGTGTACAAACCAGGACAAGAAACAGACCGTGTTAGAGATCCGTTGCAGCCAACCTTCTCTGCGAAGCCGGCACCTGATTGATTGCATGGCCTTTACAGAATCAACAGCATTCGCTGTTCGTGAGTTTACTAGGCAGTGTTTATGTTCAGTAATTTATCACTACTTTTTTAAACGATCGGCTCTCGATGCCACTGACGAAACCAACCCAAAGTGGTCTAAATACTAGTGAGACCACAAAACCACGACACGGCTACAACCTGGTATCAGTGAGACCACAAAACCACGACACGGCTACAACCTGGTATCAGTGAGACCACAAACCCGCGACACGGCTACAACCTGGTATCAGTGAGACCACAAAACCACGACACGGCTACAACCTGGTATCAGTGAGATGACAAAACCACGACACGGCTACAACCTGGTATCAGTGAGACGACAAAGCCACGATACGGCTACAACCTGGTATCAGTGCGACGAAAAAACCACGACACGGCTACAACCTGGTATCAGTGAGACCACAAAACCACGACACTGGTCTACAACCTGGTATCAGTGAGACGACAAAGCCACGATACGGCTATAACCTGGTATCAGTGAGACGAAAAAACCACGACACGGCTACAACCTGGTATCAGTGAGACCACAAAACCACGACACTGGTCTACAACCTGGTATCAGTGAGACGACAAAACCACGACACTGGTCTACAACCTGGTATCAGTGAGACGACAAAACCACGATACTGGTCTACAATCTGGAATCAGTGAGACGACAAAACCACGACACTGGTCTACAACCTGGTACCAGTGAATCGACAAAACCACAACACTGGGCTACAACCTGGTCTCAGTGAATCGACAAAACCACAACACTGGGCTACAACCTGGTCTCAGTGAGACGACAAAACCACGAGACTGGTCTATAACCTGGTCTCAGTGAGACGACAAAACCACGAGACTGGTCTATAACCTGATATCAGTGAGACGACAAAACCACGAGACTGGTCTATAACCTGGTATCAGTGAGACGACACAAGAAGAAGAATGATACTTTGTGCCCATGGCAAGATAAGTCAGCTTAAGGAAAGTCTTAACCAACAAGAGGATAGAATTTCAGGGCCACTGTTGTCAAAGCCATTAATTAAAGTGTTCGTAAACGATCTGCCCTTAACACATCTGCAGCAACTTTCTCCTGCATCCCTCTTGTCTTTTTGCTTCTCCCCCCCCCCCCCCTTTTTACATAAGCAACGTAATTCATGGCATCCCGTTCCCAAGAATCCACCTCAATAACAGTATATGCATGCCCCGCTTGTATATATCATAGTAGAAGCCGACCTTGATATATTCGACACATCTGTAAGTCAATAAAGAAAGGCTGACCTTGAGAATAAAGAACTGTTAACTCTTTCTTCTTCTTCGCGTTCCTGGCTGTAAACTCAGGAGGAAAGTTTTGGTTCTTCGTACCTGGACTTTAGTCTTGTCCCAAAGCCTGAGTGTTAGGTGCACATATGTGACCTACTTGTATGCAGACTGTTGGTGCCTTTCCTCTCAACACAAGCAATAAACAAAAACAAAATGCTGGGATTGGCTTCACGTCGTGCTGTAAAGGATACACAACCAATTACTATACTGGAGGCGCTGAAAGTAGTCCTTTTCTTACAGGAGAGCACCGAAAACGATTGTCAGTTCTTTTTAGAACGGTCGAAGCTCATAAAGTTGTCAAATTCAATACAAAGTACTCTGCTGTTCTCAAATCACCTGCAGGCGAACAAACCCGGGATGCCGAAATTATTAAACTGTTCACCTCTAACCGCAGACATTGTTTAAAAAAAAAAGGGTAAAGATCCACTTTCACGCCTTTAGGCAAGTCGTCATATGGGAAGAGCACCCATATTTTTAGACTAAACGGCACTAGGTGGGAAATGTGGTCAGCATTATGCCAGCCGTCTTTACTTTCCCTGGGCATACATCTAGGTACCCATTTTAGGCTGGGGCGACCTGCAATGCCCTGTAACGCAGCCAGCAGTGGGTTTCGATCGCGATACGTTGGAATTGCAAGTCGGACTTGCAAAGCTTGAGCCACAGACGCTGCATGAGCATTTATGCATTGAAAATAATAAGTAAACCGGACAGGCTGGGGCCAGATACCATTACTGATGCCAGTGACTTTAAAAAGAACGTTTTGCTTGTGTAAAATAATAGTTATCAAGGAACTGTTGTTGAGATTTTAAATGGTCATAAACAAATCAACTGATATACAAGTGTGGCGTCTAAAGTTGAGTCTCGTATGACCGCGCTGCTTAAAGTGATCAATAATATGGAGAGGACTGTGCGGGACAGAGGAACAGATTGCGAGCCCTACGTGACTTACTATGGTCACATGGGGGGAAAAAACGGCAAATGAACTGATTTAGTAAATGAAAACATTCAAAAGAAAGCTTAAAACGAACGTTAATAAGAGTGGGGCTGGGAAGAAGATAACACCCAGAATTTTAAAGAGAGGGTCGCTGCAGCAACTGCAACCCTGGACACGATTCCTGGAGGAGATGTAATACTATCTAGATAGACATCACCAGAGCTCTAAGTTTAGTACTACAGAATACTGTTGTCGAAGTGTTGTGGAAGATAGTAGCAGGTAAGCTACATCCTTCCAGGAGGTTTGGAAAGTTACTGGCCAGGTAAGGACACATGTTCAAATGCGGCTATTTTGCCTTAGATAAAAGTAAAGGCCCCTTTTCCACGCCATCAGGCGTATAGGGCTAGACCTATATCTGTATAGACCAATCGGCACAAGATGGGTGATGTGGTCAGCATCACGCCTGCCTTAGATGCTTTCGAAGGTATTCAGAACAGACAGAAACGGTGGTGGTAGCACTTGATTTAGATAGAAGATGCATACATCAGAGTCAGGTATAGATACAGTATCTTGGTGACAACGATTATGGAGAAGGGAGTCTGTCCTTCGAAAGCATCTGTTTTGTACTTTCATCAAGTCGCTCTCCGCCTGAGTTCATAGACGTCTGAACCACGCACTGTAGCCCTAAAGTTTTAGATGTGCGCCTATATCACCATGTACTAAGGAAAGTATTAAAACTAAACTTTTCGGAACAGCTTTAATTCCACGCGCGAATATCCATCATTAACTTTTTTTATAATCAGTTTAAAATCCTGGCAAACATTATCAACAAGAACATGCCCACTGCCTCTCCAACAAGCATGTCAAAAAGAGTCAACAAATTGGGAGCTTTCTTCGAAGTCGGAGTGCATCTGCCCGAGACGCAAGGAATCAGCAGTTTGCATACAAATAAGTCCTTGATGTGCACGCAACACTCGGGTTCTAGAACAATACTAAAGTCCAGAGGCGGACGAACAACCAGAACTTTCCACTGGAGTTTACAGCCCGTGAACGCGAAGGAGGAGATAATTTCATAGACGTATCGTTGTGCATTCAAGCTTTCTTCAGAATGCACATGTTGACTCCTTCCGTTGTAACTGATCATTCCCCCACACCATTACACCTCCACCACCGTGCAGCAGAGCTTCATCAACACAATTTTGGGCTCAACCTTAATTTCGTCTACGGTAGACGTGGATTTCTAGTAATTTTTACCTTGTCTATGGAGACGTCCGCGTGAAATGTTGCACACGTAATAATCCCTTGATAGTTCGAAATCGAAAAGAATAGCCTAACGGGCGCTGCCCAGGCGAAATTTTGAGTTGAAAATCTACCTTAAGTATTTCATAATCCTCGCCGGTGCTATGGAGTTCGCGCACTGCAATAAGATTCTTCAGACTTCAGTTAGAAATAAAAATTGAGGACTTATGGGTTACTACCCTTTGTGCCATGATGATCTGCCGTTGAAACCTAAACCTTATGGATTTCAGTTACAAAGACTGCGCCATGGAGCAAGTATAACAGGATGCTTCTATGGACAGAAATCTAGATTTCAATGGTTTTAAGTGTGATAACGGATATCTATGTCAAACTCAAAATCCAGTCGTTTTAAAAAACATCGTAAAACACCCTTGGTAATGGGAGATAGTAATGCTTCGGATTGTTGGTCAACAAATTTATCGTTAAAAAAGTACTCATACAAAGCTTATTTCATTCATTGCCAACCATGTCCCCAACATTTTGTAGCATCGAAGTTGAACAAATTCACTTAAAACCTGGAAAAGATGATGGTTTTTAAACATCTCCTGAAATTTCTATAAATAGCCAAATAAATCCAAGATGGCCACCATGATCATGTGACATATTTGCATAACAAATTTGTTTTTATGTGTTGCAACCATTCCTAATGGGCCTTCAAAAGTTTCAATAGCATACGCCTTTTAAATTTTTTTTTAATGAATTTAATTAGAAAAGCAGTTGTTTTAAAAAACAAATCGTAAAACACGCTTGGTAATGGAAGATAGTAATGCTTCGGATTGTTGGTCAGCAAAGTTATCGTTAAAAAAGTACTCATACATAGCTTATTTCATTCATTGCCAACCATGTCCCCAACATTTTCTAGCATTGAAGTTGAACAAATTCACTTAAAACCTGGAAAAGATGATGGTTTTCAAACATCTCCTGAAATTTCTATAAATAGCCAAATAAATCCAAGATGGCCACCATGATCATGTGACATATTTGCATAACATATTTGTTTTCATGTTTAGCAACCATTCCCAATGGGTCTCCGAAAGTTTCAATACCCTACGCCTTAAAAAAAAAATTTTATGAATTTAATTAGAAAAGCAGTCGTTTTTACAAAAATCTTCAAACACCCTTGGTAATGGGAGACAGTAATCCTCCAGATTGTTGGTCAGCAAAGTGTTAAGTATTTCATAATCCTCGCCGGTGCTATGGAGTTCGCGCACTGCGATAAGATTCTTCAGACTCAGGCTTCAGTTAGAAGTAAAAATTGAGGACTTATGGGTTACTACCCTTTGTGCCATGATGATGATCTGCCGTTGAAACCTAAACCTTATGGATTTCAGTTACAAAGACTGCGCCATGGAGCAAGTATAACAGGATGCTTCTATAGACAGAAATCTAGATTTCAATGGTTTTAAGTGTGATAACGGATATCTATGTCAAACTCAAAATCCAGGGGTGGATGAACAACCAGAACCTTCCGCTGCAGTTTATACCTAGTGAACATGTAGAAAAAGAAATGAAAACAAAGATTTTAGCACTCCGGTGGCTTAAGTAGAGCCAACGAAAGAGTCAAGTCTGTATTGAGTATGCAAATATAAGAGTAAGATCGTTTGGAAAACTAAGGTTTAGTTTTTGTGCAGCAGTCAGAAAGCCACAAAAATTGTCTTAAAATATATGCTAAATTTTAAAAATTAAGTAGGAAAGAAATGATAACTGATATCATAAAAACCTTCTCTGCTTGTGTGAAGGGGTTATGAATGTATACAAATACAAAAATTGAGCCTGTACATACAAAAATTGTGGTTTTAGACTTATCCGAAAACATCCAACATGGCCGTTGTTTATCTTAGTTTCCATAGCAACCACTGAGTGCACTGTCAGTTAGACAGTATTTTTTCAATCTGAGGTCTTCAGAAAACCCTATACCATACCAGAACGTAGAAATTAATAGTATAAAATTTAGTTTCAAAAGGGAAGCATTGCCTTAAGTCTGTCAATTATTTCTAGAACTCCCTCCACATAAACAAGCTGAGGGAGAAAGGCTATGTACCAAATAGCAAGCACACACTGCCATCAGCAGCAATGAAACAGAGCAGCATGCCAGGTGTACAAAATACAATTTAATGCATAAACACATGAGAAGGTGGGCAAGCCATATGACAACAACTGTAATAAAAAGCTAACAATTATCTGCTCCAACACTGGTGGCGGTAAGACCTCAAACTTATGTGTCATGGCACAATCCCAGAAATATCAATACAAGCCACCAACCAGCAAAATTTTCTTTACACTTAATTTGGTGTAGTATCAGTTCAGGAAAAGTTTATTACATTAAAATTTACACCAATTCTGATGTCAACAGAAGAAACAACAGAGAAAAACCTAAATGCTATTTTAGGATATCCAACTCTTTAGCTACCAATGAATGCTCCACACAATATATCGTTATAACATATGTATAGACCATCCTTTGGTACCAAAAGACTTAACCCCCCCCCCACATTTATTTAACAACCCATACAGCGGAACTCCAATATTCGTGTTTTTTTTAATTATCCTCTTTTTTAACTTGGATTTTCACCGGAAAAGGCAATATTCATCTTTCTTCCAACGTGACTGGCAAGTCACATAGGACGAGAAATGAGATGATATGGGCCAGTTCCAAGTATTTAAATTAAGCAACAGCTATCTATCCATTGTTGTAAAATTGCAGGTTTTCCATAATTTTATAAACTGAATTATATAAATATACAGTATAGTAAAATTTATATATACTGAAATGACACCTAAACAGCGCATCAAATATCTGATGACATATTTGGATACACTTAACATTTGAAAGAAGAAAAAAACCTTGGACAAATTATTTTTTTTTCCTAAACCAGTGCTGGTGGATCGTCTGCAATAGGACATCAATCTGCAGAAGTGACACAACCTGATAACCTAATGGGAGGAGACCACCTTTTAAACAAGTCATTATTTGCCACATATCCCCTACGGATGGTGCTTACCTTTTGTGACCTGAACCGAGCTGGCAGGGGATCTCGCAATTGGTGGCCCTAGAGATGTAATGTCCAGTCTGGCTCTTATCAGCCCACTCCTAATGCATGGGTGAGAATGTCCATTGAAATTCATCTGGAACATGAGTGAAGCCTACTGGTCGAATATGCCACTAAATGACCACCTTCAGTTTTATGTTGAATAAAACAAATAGTGAACTTCGGAGACAGCCCTAGACCAAGAGATTTGCTTACAGCTTAGATAAAAATTATCTCCTGTATCTGGCGGTACAGTCCTGACTGTGTGCGTCCTGTGACCCTAAACGATGTTGTCACTGCATTTAGGAGCACCACGACATTTCTGCCACTGTCAGTTGGCTTTTTAAGCACACGTGTCCTCCAGACACATGTAGACTTCACAAGTCCTGTCTGGCAGACTTATTGAGATGTCCGTTACTCGTGGCTCCACTCGGCAGAGTGTCGGGACCAAAGTAGGAAAGTCATGCCCGATGCATGCTTTTCCATACAATCATGCCAAGTGTCCAGATGGAACATTAAAAGGGTCTAGTGTGCTAATGAAGAATGTACCTATTTATGTAGTCATCGAAATCAGACTTGCGGGCTGCTTGCTGCTGACCTCTAGAGGGCATAGGTCCTGACGAATGGAAATCTCAACAAACGGACACGAGGTTAAGCTATTATGTGCAGGATGAGACAATTCCTTGGGTAAACCCATGACCTGCATTTATGGAAGACTCCTTAGATGGCGGGGAACGCCCATGATCTGCCCTTGCCTTTCCTTAGGGTAGGGCAAACCTTGACAGGTTCTCTATGGGCAGGGCTTGTAGACAATGCAACAAAGACTAAATCACACACATAAGACTACATCATGTTTCAGGAAATTACCTGGGAAGTTAATGCAGTCAGCAAACGCTCAATGATATAGGTTTTTACACTAAAAGTGAAATACTGCCGCTTTGCTGCAAGCAAGCACAACGCACTTAGGTTACTTGGATGAACAGAAAAAAAAATGTATTTGCAATGATTTTCTAGACCGATTTAAAAGTGAAATTTTGTTGTTAAGGAACAGATTGGCTAGATTAAGGACTGGGAACCAATTAAACTATTTTTTTTTAGTTAAATCCTGTAGTGAAACTGATATTCGTCCTGTTTAATATTCGTCGTCTCAGTAACAGATTATTGACGAATACTGAAGCTCTACTGTATTTTTAAATTTAGAATTAGTTAAAACCAAATCTGAGCAGCATATAACTAGCATCTTAACATTATGAAATGGAGAGCAAATGGAAAAGCATGGCCCAAGTAACACACGGCATCCAGCACCACCAGTGGTGCCAATGGTAACTTGGTACCCTAATACATCTATGTAAGCAATGTTGCGGCACACATCACAGGGTCCATGTACAGGCCCTGCTGTTTCATAAGCTGCCAAAGAATGGAGCCACGGACTGAAACTGCACAGCGCAGAATCCAGATACCCATTCACAGTTTGTGCTTTGCCTGAGGTTATATGATGGGATTATTATATTGAAACATTTTTTTAGATTCAGACTTTGCCAAAACACACTAAAAATTCTTCAAAAGATATCCTATATATATAATTTTTTATTATTATTTAAAAACAGTTTATTTACACATCTCAGGCCAGGAGAAGATAAGATACACAAATGCATTACATTACAACCACTAAGTCCAACAGATCTGAATATGGCTGAAGCCTGATCTAACAATTAAAACTGACACTCCCCTGACATGTTTGTGACCACTTCACACAGGTCATCAGTTATGGGACTGCAATTTTAGCTCATTGTTTCCTCCTCCAAATTATAACTGGGCAGGATAAGTTTCAGTAGAGAAGTCTGCAAGCAGACCAGGGTCAACCCCAGTTCTGCCCGTAAGAATCTTCATACCATGCATCATCACTGCCGCTGAAGCTACTGCTGCTGAATGGCTCCTGCTTAATTTCTTGTTTCAGGGGCTGTTGAGCTATAGGCAGGCTGCCCCAGCTGTCTGTATTCTGTCGTTTCGAGCTCCCAGTGGAGAAGTCTGCGCCTGCTTTTCGTTTCCCTCCCCTGGCCGCAAGTTGTGCTGTCCCTGCCGCAGGGGCGTTTCCATTGCTGGCCCTACGCCCCCCACGCACGGCTCCCCTGGCAGATGCAGGTCCGCGGCCTTTACCGGGCGCCCCTCGTATTCCCGGGCCTCCTGCGTAGGTACGTCGGTCGCCTGAAGGACCTCTGATAAGCGGCTACCATGAAACGAAAAAAGACCATTTTGAGACATTTTTTGCCCTAATTATGAACATGGACTGGTGAGACAGACAAAGAGGAGGTAAAGGGCACACAGAAAATGTGTTATCATACTTCAATGCCAAACAAGTCTGACTCATATTTGTACTTCAGTAGAACTGTGATTGTGACACTTCAGTTCAAGAATTTAGAAATATTTATGCAGTTCAAAATTTTAAAAAATTTCAACAAAATTAAACACAAAATCCAAAAGTGTAAAATTTGAGAGGAACACATTTACTATGACCCAACCCTCCCCATTATGAAAGCAAACTGTTTTTTTTTTATTACTTTTCAAATAAGCTTTATTAAACAGTGTACTTTCATAAGAAATCTAAGCAGGGCTCTCGATGTAATATTCCTAATTAACAAACAAGCCATCTAGTTAACATGCAATACAATCTATTTATCTGTGGTGGTGCTTTTTATGTTATTGTTAAGACATCCAAACATACGTATGAGCTCCAAGGAACAGATTATATACAGCATATTCATACCAATATTGGGCTGTCAGTGCCAGACTTAAGCATTATCAAACGCTAACTTGTGTAAAATTACCACCTGTGACATAAGACACTTGAGACAAGCTGCCAACTTAACCGTCCGAGACAAAGTTAGAAATGAAAGCAGACAAGACTGTGGAAACACCACCATGCACCAAATTCACTAAGAAACAAAAGACCAAATGGTAAGAATGCAGCTAGAACAACTTTCAACGCAGGCTCTACCCCTAAAAAGATCTGATGTGAAATCAAGAGGTTGTCCTGGGAGAATATAGACTGATGACAATCGACATGGAATGACAACAGTCATTGCTGCCCATCTACGAATGGACCCTCACTATAGCACTTAACAGCAGAAATAAAAACTGATGCTGATCGTGACAAACTTGCACTTTTTCGTAAAGCTAATGGAGTGTCACAGTGGTGATCAGTCCATCACCTTCTGTCGATTATCTTGAGCAGAGGGGATGGATTTTCAAGGCTAGGTGGTATACCATCTGAATTTGTTTCCCAGAAGGCATAGTTTGTTTCACCAGCGCAATATCTTTTTCTTGCCAATGGCACATTAAGGATGCAACACTATACACATATGGTATTAGGGAACTGCTCATCCGAGCTACGGAGTTATTGCGGAGATCTAATGCAGCAGTATCTACAAGAAACAGAAGGGGGAGAGGTCAACTGGTTGAAGGAGACTGCAACAGACACAAAAACCAACCCAAGTAAGAATGCCTCGGCAAAAGACATTTACAAATTCTATGCTGGAAATGCCCAAGCAAGGAACTGATAAACAATTATGGCAATGTCAAATATGCAGCAACGTCAACTGCGATAACATAACCACAATTTTTATGGAAAATGGCGGGCACCGTCACTGGATCTATGGAGCCCTTAGGCGACCAGTCCAACAAGTGGCTGTTCTGTGAAGACAGACTGAGCCATATGGGATCATTCCCAGTGCAATGAAGCCGATCCTTCTGATATCAATGCCTTAGTGCACCAATTCTTGGTCTTTCCGCACTTGTTTTCCTTCTTCACTATTTCTTTGTTATCCCTTTTTATGACATACCCAAAGAACTGGCTGCTTCTGAGTTAGGACAATAACTGCTGAGTTGATTTATTTCAAGACCTATGAGTGTACATTTTATCTGTCAATTATAATTTTATAGATCCCCCTGTGTGTTTCTTAACCCCATTGTGGTAAAAACAATAATAGGGCCACTGCCTCCCCATCAAGCATGTCATAAGAATAGACTAACTGGGAGTTTCCTTCTAAGTCAGAGTGTATGTACCTGAGAGGCAAGGATCCAACAATTTGCATACAAATAACAAATAAGTCAGAGATTCTATATGTTGGTTCTAGGGACCGGTTGTGGGGAAAACAAGTACAGACCCACTGACTACCCGAAAAAATGTCAGAGTCAAACTATTACGAGCTTCCTTCGAAGTACATCTGCCTGAGAGGCAAGGTACCAACAGTCTGCATGCAAATGTAAGATCTGTGAAATGGATGCGCATGCAACACTTAGTTTCTGGTGCAGGGCTATAGTCCAGAAGTGGACGAACAACCAGAACCTTCCGCCAGAGTTTACAGCCGATTAACGCGAAGAAGAAGATATTTAGTGTCCATACATCAGGTTTTCCACTATCACCCAACAAATGCTCCCCCATACATCAGGTTTTCCACTATCACCCAACAAATGCTCCCTATCAGACTACATCCTACAGTATAGCATATATAATACCTATAATATTTCATCCTTGCGATGCAAATGTGACAGACAGCATTTCTATTCATTCCATGTTCAATTTACACATGAAATGAACCCCCTCCTATGCCCAACCACCCATCGCTGTAACGTCACATTTGCATGAGAGCCCTGCCTGTTGAAGTTCTAATAAATATACTTACAGGGGGCATGCCTCCTCTGCCGCGGGCACTTCTCACTAAGGGTACAGGTGGGTAAGCATAGTAGTCAAAGTCGTCATACCCGTAAAAGTCATCATAGAATGGCTCTGCAAGACAATAAGGAAAATGATCATTCATGTGAACATCTTAACCCCTATTTTCACAAATACACTTGCACATACGAGTGAGGCCGAGGATTTTGGTCTGTACTATAGTTTCTATGCCAGTGCCAGCAAGCAAAGTGTGACTTGAGTCTTCGGAAAAGTGTAGCATGTGTGACCAAATTATAAACTGTTACACATGTGACTATTACTATCACATTTGCCCATAAAAGGATGGATGGCACATGCAACTTTATGTTGCAGCGTTTTTTTTAGAGCGTTCAACTCTTCGATTACAGAGAAACGCACTATCTGGCTTTTTCGAAAACACAGTTAAAAGCATAAAATGCAGCAGATCTGTGAGCTTTACCAAGTGTTTGTGTGGAAAAACAATGTGGGCTCCGAGCAGACTTCATGCATACCAACAAGATTTATGACATTAGAAGCCTCATATTTATACATGTGTTTATCCGATTTCACTGAGCTAGACAAAGAAAGTTACACAGTCACCGAGTCAAACTTTGCGTGTGTTTATATTTATACATAACTGGGTGGTTCATGTTCATTTGTGATTCATTTTGGAAATATTTTATCGAGTTTTCATCGAGTGCCATGGTGGTAGGTATACCATCTGTTTGTTTAATAATGATTAACTACAAACACAATTATTTGCCGTGCAGTATTCTAATATTCCTCAACAATCCCTAGGCACTTTGATGTGTAATGTGTGCACACTGAGCTGCAGTTGAATTAGTATAGTCTGTTTAAATGTGTAATACTTGTGACATTTTGAAACTGCATTATGTTATTGTTAAGACATCCAAACATCCTTTGGACCTCTGATGCTCAGAAAGTTCTGGCTGTTCATCCACTTCTGAACTTTAAATCTTGTTTCAAAACCTGAGTTTTATCCACTATATAGACCTGGGTCATTTGTGTGCAGACTGTTGGTTCCACAGCTCACCCCCAAATCAGCTGACTTACAACATGCTTGTTAGGGACCATGGGACTATTCTTGTTTTTTTTTACCCACTCTGGTTTTTTTTTTAAGCCACAATGGTGGAACCAACCCCCCCCCCGATAAAAACATGACAAACACTAAACACCTTACCTGGGTATGGCAAGCGTCTCATAGGAACTCCCAGTGTTGGTGGGCCAGCCCTCACTGGAGGCAACCAGTAATCATCATAGGCGTAGTAATGACCTCTGGGAGGGTAGCGGTCTTGATCCCGCTTGCGCAGCTCTTTCTTCTTGTTTTCCGATGGAGGTTTTGCCAGCGATACGTCTATTTCCATATTGCCAATCTTTGTGCCATTGAGAGCTTCCATGGCCTTTATGGCATCGTCACGCTCCTCAAAATGAACAAACCCGTAGTCTTTGATTTTTTTCACCCTCTCCACTTTTCCAAATTCACCAAATTTCTCCTTCAACTGATCCTCCGTTACATCTGAGGTCAAATTTCGTACGTAGAGCACTTTCACCTTTAGACAGATGAGAAAAGACAAAAAATGTTGAGACATTTAGTTTTAGACATAATTAGTTTAGATATACATTTTACCATTATTCAGATCAGAATAGACTCATATTATGTTGTGATTCACAGCTATGCTGTGATAACTGCGCCTTTCAGCATACCTAAGACCACCAGCAAATCCCTAATGGCTGACAATGTTTATCTATCTAGTAACAGCATAGTACTATATTTGTTAAAGTGTGTTCCCTATCTCATAACAGCATATTACCTTATTTGTTCTTGTGTGTCCTATAGTGACAGCACATTACCAAATATTTTGTAAACTTTTGCCCTGTCTAGTAAAAACATATTACCCCATGTCTGCTATATCTAGTGCCAATATTTGCCTCATATCTTGATTTTTGGGAATTAATTCAGTTCTCAACATAACTGCAACACTTTTTTCTTTGCCAGGGATGCCACTGTATACATAAATTTTTAGCGTTCACCGAAGATTATGGTTCTTCACTTACTTCTGAATTTTGGTACTGTCCCAGAACTTATGCATGCGCATCCATTTTACAGATCTGGCATATATATATATGTGTATATTTACAGACTGTTGGTTTCCCACCTCTCAGGAAGATGTACTCTATCTTTAAAACAAACAGCCCTTATAGGTCACCTTCTACATCATGCTTGTTTTTAGAGTGGAAAGGTGTAGGGGGGGGGAAGAACCTCTGGGTTTATTCTTTGTTCTCTACAAGTGTAGCCCCAGAATCCACATGAAAAGTTTACATAAAAGAAAACTGAACAAGATGAACAGAAATTTAAAAAAAAAAAGAAGAGGGATGTACAATCTATAAAAAAAAATTAATAAACCTTTGACATTGTTTCATTGTCAGGCTCTTCCATGGGGTCAGCCCAGTCGACAATGACATCACACTGCCAAAACTTTGGGTGCCCTGATTGCAGCTTTCTCTTGGCATTTGATGCGTGCTTGTGGCTTTCATATTCCAGAAAGGCAAAGCCCCGGTTCTTCTGTCTTGGGTTGTCAGCCAAACCATACACAATAACATCCACCAAACCATCTAAACCAGAAAAACAAAGAAACAGTGAACAACACAGCGAAATCTTAATTCTGTGTTACTGTACCAAGATCTCTTTTTCTTTTAGCATTCCATCTTTTTCTCAGCCAGTGGCTCTCAACCTTCTTAATGCGACAACCCTTTAATACAGTTCCTCATGTTGTGGCGACTCCCCCAACCTTAACATTATTTTCATTGCTTCTTTATAACTTCAGTGACTGTTTTCCTATGGTCCTGTGAAAGGGTTCATTCAACCCACAAAAGGGTCACGACCTCCAGGTTGAGAACCGCTGTTCTCTAAGCTGTAAACTGGCAAAAAGATTTGGTTTGTTCAATTCAAAACTTGAGTTCTGCATACAAATCTGTTATACAGATCCAGCTATCTGTATGCAGACTGTTGGTTCCTCACCTCTCAGGCAGATACATTCTGAAAACCCCTAATCAGTTACCTTTTATGACATACTTGTTGAGGGCAGTGGGTCTAGTCTTTTTTCCACCTGGATGGGGCTTTGGAACCCACAGGGGAGCGAACTCAACATTCCAGACCCCGAGGTTCACTGCTGCAGATATCACCCTAACTCCATTCATCTCTGATTTGCCTCCTCTTTCACACTGGTGGCTCCCAAGTGTTTGTAAGGCTACCTCTATATCATTATCTGCCTCTGTTTCTCCTAAGTCTACCCATGCTCCTATCAACTTGTGTGTGTGTACAGTTTGTGTCTCTCTGTTATCTATTCTCTCTAGGAGGTTAAACAGGTGCTCTAGGATTGGCACCCACATAGTAGTTTTTTGAGTCAAAGTGTCCACTAGCCACACGAAAATTGAGAATTTGAGACAGCTGTTATTCTCATTTATAAAAACAAGCAAAAAACTACACCTAATATAAATGTGACAGAACAGATATGAAGCGTAAAGATTTCATATGTATCAGTCTTAGGTGTGGCATAATCTATTGAAGATAAGCCACATAGCGAGACAGACTAAATTCTGTCCACAGTGTTGAACGATCGTTAACTAGAACTTCATCTAGTACGAAGCTGGAACTGTGGATTATTTTAACACATACACTCAGTTAAAGACATTTTAAAAAATGTGGCCACAAATTCGGTGAAAGTCATTTGATAACATGTGGCCATAAACTCAGTGAAAGTCATTTTAAAAAAAAAATTAAGCCATTATCGGGCAGTGTGATCAAAAGGCTGAGGTGTTAGCTTTTTCTGTCCATAACTTCCCAAAAGGTCATGGTTATTCAACCACATTCCTCCAGACATCTTTCCTTAGTTTACTCTGTCTCCCCAGAGGTGACAGAACCTTGGCCTCACGACCCCCCCCCCCCCCAAATGTGGAAAGGGCGATAAGCAGACCCCCAACCATGCAATCATTTCTCAATTTATTGCCATTGAACACAATTATTATTGTGTACTTAAATAGGGTTTTGGTCCTTTGAGAAAATATGTACGCTGGCTGAGGCCCCCCCCCCCCCCCCCCCCCCAAAGAGTTGTCAGCATCAGTGCCCCTGGCCTCCTCATGTCAGTCATGTCTGTCTCTATTTCTATACAAGTTTGTGTCTGTATGTCTCTCCTTTTAATACTTTGGCCCTGTGGGTTCTGATCGAAAGAACATTCTAGTTACCAGACTTTCTCAGTGTGTACCCTAGCAGCATGGCATCTTTTCCTCACCTCCCGATTCATTGGAATTTTCTGCTCTCGCAAAGCTCTTTAGTTTTTTTTTCCCATACCATTTAATTCCTTCTGTGCTGTATAAGCACAAGTGAATGAATATTTCTATTACCTTATAGACAGAGAAACAAAATTCAAACTGGACACTACATCTCCATGCTGAAATGTATGTCCTATGCCTTCAGTACATAAATTCAGCACATAAAATAGTACCTGTTCTTTTTCCAAATTCTTCTTTTATTTCTTCTTTTGACTTGTTTTTTGGGATGTTGCCAACAAATAACCTCACATTAGCCACTGAGATGTTCACTTTCAACTTCTTTCCAGATCTAATTTCATAATCATTCAGCTGGTGAACAAATAAATATGAGTTATGGGTATATTTAACTCTCTGTACATATTATGAGTATATTAACTACTCTCTGTACAAATTATCATCAAGTTCCTTGCTAACTGGCATGGATGACAATGCCTCTCCACAATCTGCTACCTTTAACAGCATGTATCCGTTCATACGTCGACAACCCTTCATAACATGACAAAAGACTGTCAAAGAAACATCTTGAGTTCTCGTCTCTTTTTCCAAGATCTTTCTGGTGGTGTCACAACATGTTCCTTCTCATAACATACCAAATGTAATCAGTTTCTTTCTAATCTTCGTGATAAGTTGTCTTTCAGCCCTCGCCTCTTTAAAAATATCTGGGTTGCTATTCTTGACAGTCCAAGGCTTAATCTGTAAAAACCAAATCCAGGTGCTGTACATATAATGAATCTAAATTACAACTGAAATCCTTCTTGAGACAATAAGCTGACCTAGACTGCCAAATCAGTCCAGCTTAAAATTAGGTAATAGAAAGTACTAGTGGAAGTAAAGGCAACCTCATTTCCATGAAGTGAAACCACACAGGGGTATAAGATCCTCATGTGACATGATGATGATAGGTGGTCATGTTTTGACATCTCATGCTATCACCAGAATCAAGGGTCAAGTTAGTGTTCTTGTTATCTCTTTGCCTTCCCCCTACTCTCTTTCCCTCAATTTTGTCAGCTGTAACTTAGCTCTCCAGTTCATTAATTCTCATAAAATGCCAACAACAAAAAACCAACAAGTGTCTGAGTCATTTTTTGTGTGTGTGTGCACATACACATGACTTGGACAGATAAGTCAAGCGTATACAGTTTTCTTCTTCTCCGCGTTCAAACTCTGGCGGAAAATTCCAGCTGTTGATCTACTTTTGGACTCTTGTCCTGTTCCAGAACCTGAGTGTTATGTGCATAAACATTTGACAGATCTAACTCATTTGAATGCAGACTGTTGGCTCCTTGCCTCTCAGGCAGATACACTTGACTTCCAAGAAAGCTCCCAATTAGTCAACTCTTATGACTTGACTTGCTGTTAGGTAGGCAGTGAGTCTATTCTTGTTCCACCCACAATGGGGAATATGAAAGTAATTTTACATATTCCTCAACATCCCTTTTACACTGGACTTCAGGTTTGCTTTGTAACCGTAAAGTGCCCCAATATAACTGTAGGCAGTGAAAAGGGGTTTCTGGAATTTGTTCCTGTTTGTGTCTAATCCTGGAATGAAAAAACAAACTGTACTACTGCATAATATGAGAGGTTCCTGTGGAGGGTTGACATGAGACTGAACAAATATAAAAGACTTGGTTGAGGACCTATGCTCCCTGAGTGATAATAGGAAGAGGAAACATAGTACTAGCAAGATAAAACAAGCCCAAACCTCATTCACTGCTTTTGTGGCTGCTTCTTTCTCACAGAAGGTAACAAAGGCATAACCTCGGTTTAGTCCAGTCAAAGGATCCATCATGAGTCGCATGTCCCAGATTGTGCCACATTTCTCGAACAGTGGAATCAGTTCATCTTCGAAGACATCCTTCGGGATTTTTCCGCAAAAGACCTGCAGAAAATTTTATAACAGAAAATTGCATTATTTAAAATAATTTGAATTAAGAATTCAACAGTACTCAGTGAAGCATTAGCACTTATCAAAGGCAGAGTCCTTTTTTCATATCTCGAATGTATTAGATCTATGCATTTTGTTTCATCAGAAAAACCTGTGTGATTCTGTGGCCCCCCCCAACAAACCTGAGGAATGGTAACTCAAGCTGACATGTTAAGACAACATTTTACTGATGTGTGGAACGGTGTCCTCAAATTAGTGCCTATGGGACTAACGTCCAAAATTACACAGCGTTGTCTTGTATTTCTGAGTTTTGTTCCTTGCCGGCAACAGCTTTTTATGGCTAGTATTCACTAACTGTGGCCAAACAGACCTGAGAATTTCTCTTGGAGATACTCCAGTTATCAATGTTCGTAATTGTAGAACTAGGTCTAGTTGTGTAATGTGCTGATAAAGGTTTTCTAACCACAACGGTCATTTGCCATTTGTGATTGTGATAATGTGAAACTGAGTGGTTCTACACTTTGTACAACTTGATATCTTTTTACGACACTGTCCAGTCGCATAGTATTATAGTGTCCTATGAGGAGGCATAATACAGCCCGTGGTGATGGCAAGTGTGACTAGGCCCATGGCAATGGCGAGTGTGACTAGGCCCATGGCAGTGGCGAGTGTGACTAGGCCCATGGCAATGGCAAGTGTGACTAAGCCCATGGCAGTGGCGAGTGTGACTAGGCCCATGGCAATGGCGAGTGTGACTAGGCCCATGGAAATGGCGAGTGTGACTAGGCCCATGGAAATGGCGAGTGTGACTAAGCCCACGGCAATGGGAGTGTGACTAGGCCCATGGCAATGGCGAGTGTGACTAGGCCCATGGCGATCACGCGTGCGACTAAGCCCGTGGCGATGCAAGTGTGAATAGCAAGGCCCGCCCATATCATCAACACTAAAATTATAGCATGGGATTTCAGGACCATTGTTGACCAACATTTATGTTTAGTGTATTTCTTCTCAGGCACTCAGCTCTTGTCCTTTCTGCATTTATTTCTTCCTTCAGTCACACTGCCTTCCTGATGTGCCCCCTCCAGGCAACATGGCATTTTATTACGAATCTACCTCAATACATGTATCATTCATGTCCCACTTGCACACATCTACCCAACTATGATTCACCATAGAGGATGTTGTTAGGGACTCTACCGTCCTCCATGTATGACACAGTATTAATGGAATAAAATGAAAAAAAAAAATGCTAGCTTTATAAACATCCATGTTAAGAAAAACCATCACTAAAATGTTTACCTCATGTCCAACCCCAGGTGGTGTTGGGTCACCCCCAGGAGGAGGGCCTCCGTATTTCCTCTGCCCAGTGGTAACATCCAGAGAATAACCTGTACGGTCAAGAATTTCCTGAGTGTAAGATAAATACAAATACTGACTGCATGTATACAAACTGGTGAGGGTTATGACATCAATCATTGCATAATCTAGGAATCAAAGCTATATATATATATATATACACACACATACATACAACCGAAGATATAAACAAAAATGTTACAATTTGGATAGAATATGCTGTTCTGGGTGAAGCACAAAGATAAGTAAAATGTTAGCATGCCCCAAAAATGCACTATAAGGTACTTAGCACTATAAAAATGAAACAATGTAATCATGTGAAGCTTTGGAACAGCACTCAACTTTCAGCACATCAAGACAAAATCATTGTGGCGGATAGGATTTTTATGGAGACATCTTTAAAAAAAAAAAGTATTTGACTACTAAGGTCATTATATGTGACCTTTATTACTGGAAATAAAACACGGCAAATACAAAATAGAATGCAATCATCATCATTCTATGTATCATTTACATATTACAGGGAGCCTGCGGTTGGTTGGTTTCTCTATCCTGTGTAATCCTTTCGCTAATGTCGATGGGTCGGCGCCTGTGGCTTTGGCGTTGCGAACATCCACCATAATGCTAGGGTTGATCCCAGCTGCTTTGCGTTGGTTTCGACAGTAGTATGGAGAAGCCGACCGTCCAGAGAGCAATGGCAAACTACTGGACATAAATTTGCCTAGAAAAAACACAACAGCCAAAAAAATGCTTGTGTTGGCGTTGCAATATTCTGTAAAGGATACGCAACTTTAACTAACTGTGGATGGAATCCAACCTAGCACCTCTGGCCTCTCTCATCAATATTCATCACACACATTTTTGTATGTGTGTGGGTTCCGGGGCCCCACAGCGGGGAAAAGAAGAGCAGACTTGCTGCTTGCTAACCCCCTCCAACAACAAGCAAGCCATAAGAGTCAACTAAGTGAGGGCTTCCTTCAAAGACATGGTGCCTTTGCCTGCAAGGCGAAGAAACAACGGTATCAACACAATAAGTCAGATTCGAAAAACAGATGTGCACACAACATTCAGGTTCCAGGGATGGTAAAACAACCAGAACTTTCCGCTGGAGTCAACGCAAAGAATGAGAGATCATACGATTTCTCTTGGACTTTCCTCAATCTTGTCTTCCAATTTCAGTGCACGTTTTGTGACTGTCCGGTTTATCTGAAAATGTGCCTAAAATATCTATCTACATCCTTCCCCACAACTGTTGATACAAGCAGATGTCCAGACATTTCTACAGCAAATTCAACTAAGACTGCAAAATTGGGTAATTTGTGAATATAGATAGCATCTGTCATGGTTTGAGCATTGTAAGCTTGCTTCAGGATACCGTGCTGCTGGTTCAGTCACAATTGCAGGCAATCCAACCATTCAAAAAGCCATAGCAAATCAGTTAACATTAAAATTGCCTAGTGAAATCAAACAACAAATAAAATGCTGCGGGTTAGTCCTGCAGAAGGACAAGCAACAACTAATGATATTATTTAGACACCAGCTAATTTTACTTAGGTTAATTAACTAGAGAAATCTAAAACAAAAAGAAAAGTCTAGCCTTTTTTGTGTTAAAAATTAGGAGAATTAGATATTTCTCTGAAGGGCAGTGACATCTAACCCACCTTCAGCTTGGCCTCATCAGGCCCCTTGACAAGTGGTGCCACAGTGCCGGCCTTAGATTTCTGGCGGAAGGTTTTCATTTTGCCACAAAGATAGGCACTCTTGTTGCCGACATGTTCCAGGTTGCTTTCACAGAACTGTTGCAGCACTTTGATGGCATCTTCTGTTGAAAACTCTTTGAGAGCATCCATAGCTCGTTCATCAAGATCAGACTGAGACAGCTTTCCTGTTTTTGTTAAAATGAATCAAGTTAGCTTTTCCTTTTAAACTAAAATTCATTTAGCATAAACTAAACACAAGCTGTAAATAAGTAAATACATCAGCGACTAACATAAACTAAAGTAAAATCAAAAAGCACCTAACTGATTCCATACAAAGACACTAGATTTTCAAACTACATCTGTTAAAATCATTATGAGATAGCTTTCACCTTAAAAATAATAGAGTGGAAAAATATTTTAATTTTATATTGCGCAACTTAAAACTGAATACCTGAAAAAAAAAATTTAAGGCAGTTAACTTTAACTACTGACCTGTTTTAAAGATTGCAAGAAGTTCTTTAGCTACAGTTTTGTTAATTCCATGTTTAAGGAGGGTCTCTGCTTCAGTCAACTCTTCTGTAGTCAGGATGTCTTTATCTGAATCACCCCCGTTTTGACTCATCTGCAAACAAAACACTGAATTAAAAAATTTGACAAAACAGTGGACTGTTAAAAAATTGACATTCAGTTTGACTAGATTTCACTCTAGAGCATGCTGTACTGGATGGACGGCCCAAACTGTTGCAAACAGAAAGATGAAATCTGGCCGAGAGGAATGTCCTTCACTATAAAATATGGAGCACTATTGAAGACAACGAGCACACTGTCAATACAGGAGAAGAAGTCTAGCAAACACTGATCACTGAAGAATAAGAGAAGACCAGATCTCTGCCAGTGTCAAGCTGAACATAAAATAGTGCAAGTTTATGTTTTGCTCCATGCAGCGTGGTAAGCATCTTTTCAAAGTTAGCATCCTTTGGATATTTTCTCCAGGTTACGCCGTGTTCGAAAATGAAATAAGCAGGCAGATAGACTGGCCAGTTCCGCACCGCTTGGTGGTGAACTGAGGTATGACAAGCTAAATGTTGTGAGGGCTTTTTTTAGGAGTGAGTGAACAGTGCCAAGGCAGAGAGATCATTACAGTCTGGGGAGAATTGCGCTGTGAGGAGTTAAAAGGGGATCTGGCTGGCTCTCAATACTCAAGGGGAAGGTGAGACGGCTATACAATCGGACAGTTACTGGTGCCATCGGAATTGAAACTCTTCGCTTGCTGCTGAAGATGGGGACGGAGCGCTTATGGAGGTGTCCCAAGTGCAGTGATGTCGATTCCTAAATCAACGGTAAGCAACAACCTAATTTCTCGCCTTTTATGACACACCTCTTTGGGGTCAGTGGGCCGGACACCCCCCCCCCCCGGCCTAGTACCCACATCTTGTACAGAAGGACCTCAGATTTTATTCATTCTTAGCCATTTTCTTTAGCCTTTTGTCTCCCAGTGAAAGATCTACTTTCAGTATATTCACATTGAGTTCTTTCTAAACATCTGTTTATGTTTGGTTACTTTTTTTAATTTTAAGTGTCTTTTTAGAGATGATTTAGTCAGTCTAATGCCAACTCGCATACATTTGCTTTTTTCTTTTTCTGAACGTTCACCATCTGCAAACTTAGGTAGAAAAGTTATGGTTGTTCACTGACTTCTGGACGTTGCCTTGTTCCAGACCCCTTTTACAATGCAGCTTATTTGTACAACGACAATTAGTTCCTCGCCTCTCAGACAGATGCACTCCAACTTCTAAGAAAACCCACAATTAGTCGCCTTTTTAGAGATGCTTTTTAGGGAGGCAGTGGGTTTATTCCTTTTGCCCTCCAAACAGAGCCCCAGACCAATACTGGGATGTTTCCTCTAACATGCCACAAGAAGCTATTTCATTGCTGTACCTTACCCTGCTTCCCATGTCCCCAGTACCACACAGGGTGTGGCCAACCATCCTGAATCAGATAACATTTTCTAGGACCACTAACCAAACTTCCTGCGTTCAATCCACATTCAGCCAGATTTAGTAGGTGTAGGCCAGAATCATTTTCTGTTTTACCTGTATTAGGACACTACTGCAAGCAAGCATCAACTTAATGTAGGCTTTAGATTACACAGAATGTTGTAAGAAATCTTGGGGCTCAGTGTGTGTAGTGTGCCAAGCTGAAATTACTGATTTCCCTGTGCAAGTACCAGGGCCCCATGTGGGGGAGGGATGGGGTGGAAAATGTAATCAAATTCTAACAAGCATGTCGTAAAAGACAACTTAATTAGGGGGTTTCTTGAAATCATATGTGTTAATTACTGGGTTGAAAAGTGCATCTGCTTGTGGGTCCCGGGGACCTCTTATAGGGAAAGCAAGAACAGACCTACTGCCTACCGTAAAGCATGTCATACAAGTGGACTAATTGGGAGCTTTCTTCGAAGTCGGAGTGCATTTGCCTGAGAGGCAAGGAACCAACAGTCTGTATAAAATTAGTTATATCTGTCAAACAGATGCACACGCAACACTCAGGTTCTGGGACAGGACTGCAGTCCAGGAGTGGACGAACAACCAGAACTTTCCGCCAAACTTTACAGCTGGTAAACACGAAGAAGAAAGGTGCAAATAAAATACTGCAACCTTGCTGACAAAACATGCATGCGAACTGCCCTTTTGAAAAAAAAAAGTTTTGTTTGAAAACATAAAATGGGGCTACGTGGTCTTGAGCCATGGCGTCCGTCTTGAGTGCTGGAGATCGCAGTTCAAGCCCTGTTGAAGGCTGGGATTTTTTCAAGTGGACTTCTAGTAATTTCCCCTAGTCTCTGGGTAGTAAGATCAGACGCCCGTGTGTACTGCTGCGTGCATAAAAAATCAACTAGCAATTGAAAATCGAAAAAAGCAGGCTAACAGCGCTGCCCGGGCAAAAATTTGCAGTTAAAAATTTCCGCTAAGTATTTCCTGATTCTCGCCAGTGCTACGGATTTTGAGCCTGCACTGAGATTCTTCGGACTCATACTTTATGTCCATGCGTTCATGCATCAGTAAAATACATTTAATAAATGGTTAGGTAAATTAGCTATCATCCGAATAATGGCCACATATTATGGTGGCCCAAAAAATTTTGGGCTTCTTACTGGTGAATATAAAGCGGAAAAAGTAGAATAAATTTTCGTGGTTGATGTCATGAAAGTGGGATAACTTTCCGGAGATGATGCCACCAAACCGCTGAGTCAAACTAGCTGCAGAGGCTTAACTGGATGGCTGGGACTCACCAGCAGCAGCTATTCATCTCGTGCTTCCTAATTTTATTTGCTCGTGAATCCCAGCCATCTAGTTTAGCACCCCCCCCCCCCCCGGCGGCTATTCTGTGAATAGCTGTAACATAAACAGTCACAAACAGCAGATTTTCGGGCACTATTTGCTGCTTCTGTGCCACAATTTTCACATATAAAGGCGTCAATTATCAGTAATTAGTCGATTTCATTTTCCCTTATTTTTTTTCCCGTTCCCATTATTTTTGAGTTTTAAGTTTTTGAATGTTTAAAACACATGACCTAATGAGGCCCTGTCAGGGTGGGTTTTTTTCTGGCCGCCATAATATGTGGTCGTTATTCGGAGGATAGCCGGTAAATTTATAAAGTTAGTTGCAAGTCACTTTCATGTTTTAACTCTTTGAGTCCCAAAGAACGCATCATACGTTTACAGGTTACTGCCTAGAAGCCCAATGAACTCATGATGCGCTGATTTTACGTCTCTCTAGACTACCCCTTGCTGCTGTGATGCTAAACCCTCTGGGACTCAAAGAGTTAAGCATGCAGGAACTGATTGTTGGGGCAATCGTTTAGCTTATACTAAGTTGGGAAGTTCACAAACAGATGGCTGAACTTCACAAGGTTATTAGAAACTAAACAACCAGTATATATCAGTAAAATCAATATATAAATGAGCAGTTAGAATACATGCATTTGGTAAAAGGACATGGCAAAATGTAGTTAAAATAACCACAAAAAAAAAGTGTGGTTAACAATTCTTTTCTCAATAATGTTTTCTCTGTCCATATCAGGGCTTTTTTTTTTTTTTTTAACTATTAACAGAAGCAAAATTATTATCACGCGTGCAACAGAACATATTTAAATTTCTAAAAGCTTGTCAAAATCATTAACAAATCAAGTCGATTAGGCCGGCGTGGAAATTTACGAAAAAGCATGGACGACCACACGTCTGCTGCAGTTTGCAAGATTATCACCTTAAATGTTTAAGGATCTAATGCTACTAAATCCAATGTTATGTTAATAATCAGAAAACTAAGATAATAAAATACCCACCCTAAAATTTTAAGAATTCTGCTTCTTTTTGATGATGAGATAAAATAGAAAAATAAAAGGCCAAAATCTCTTCTCTAAAAAAGCGTCTTTCCTCGTAAGATAAAATTTTAGAAGAGACCACGTGATGCACGGGGATCACACTCAGTACTTCACGGTCAGTGGAGGAAGTCAACTGTGGATTTGAGGGGAAACGGACGGCCACCAAATACCAGCGTGGACATTAAGGGCTATTGTGTCCATAAAGCCGAGGAGACCGCTGAAACTAGCGTTGACATTAGTTAGGGGCTATTGTGGCCGCTGGGAAACAACGGAGGGTCACAGAATATCGGCGTGGACGCTGTAGCGTCTTTGACAGAGGACATCTAGAGGTTAAGTTAAAACTGAAAAATTCCCCGTGTGAGTTCCAGAGCCCCATTGTGGATGAAAACAAGAATAGACTCACTATCTCCCCAACTAGTGTGTCTAAGTGAAGTCTTTCTTCAAAGTCGCAGTGCATCTGCCCGAACGGCAAGGAAAAATCAGTCAATCATTTAACTGTGACCACTTGCAGCTAAGGGATAGAAGACATTGCTATTCTCTGCCCTGTCCGCTATATTCGTGGTGACGTTTCTTGTCTTCATCAGGACTTTCCTCTTCAGCTTAAAACCGGTGAACAAAGAAGAAACTGGACAATGAATGTTTAAAAGATGACAGATAATTTTTGCTAAAATAGGCTACAGGTTTTCCATTATACTTTATGATCAACCAGTAGCAGATTTCTGTGTTCTTAATTAATATCCTACTCCAGATGACGTCACAGGACAGTGCAACATTTTAGAGTGTGGGAAGACTGGGTTTCCTGACTTTCTGATGCCTTTAACAAACCCAAAACATCTCAAACTGGCCCTAACCCCAATCCACATACATCCCACGAGAGTGTGCAGCCTAGGTCCCACGGCTGCATGCAGCCTATCTACCACCCCCTGAAATATTAGACTGTCCCGTGACCTGTGAATTGTCCCTGGTTGGGGTAGGATATTAATAAAGCACCGATTTCTGCGAGCTAACTGATGGCACCTATCAGAACTGTGGTGGATTCGGTAAAAGAATGTAGAAACTGGTGTAATGGTATGGCAGAATTATAGCTACATTAATTAATATAATCGAACGCCGAACTAAATGATGCAGTAGTGTGCAATGGAGATTCTGAACACACGGGTAACAAAAATCCTAGCTGGTGTTTGTCAGATAAAGGGAGAAGAAAGGTAGTGGCAAACTAAACGTAGCATTTTTATCTACAA